TTGGCCACTTAAAGATGTCTGCCCTTCATCGCCCGGACTGCCCCAGCCAGCGACCGTTGGCTGGGGAATTCTGGGAGTTGAAGTCCAGACATCTTCAAGTGGCCAAGGTTGAGAAACACTGCTCTAGATACCTAGATATTAAATTCTAAAACATTCCAGCTATATCTGGAATGTTAGAGATCTACGAATCTAGATATTAAAATTCAGCTTTGAAAACTGCCCTTTTCTGTTCTTGCAGATAACTCAGAGCTGGGAGACAAATCTCCAACGGATACAATACCTCAACCATCTCCCACCAGTCTAACTCCTAAAGGACAGCCCTTACCAGAGATTGCAATTGAGACTACAGATATTGGTAAAGTGCCGATTACTTATCTTACCCCAGTTTTAACCCCTGGCGAATGTAATGAAAAATAGCGTTAACCGTGTTTGTCTCTGTTACACAGTTTAAATTGTGCTTGTTTTCCCATTGGCCTCAAAAGTGGGAGATGTCTGATATCTAAGCCCCGTTTGCAGCACGACAGCTACATCGTGTTGGTCCCTTGGATTGTATCTTCTTGGGGGGATGGGGTCCAAATAAGCATAGCTACTAAATTTACAGATTTTTAGAAAAATATTTTTAGGCAGCATTTAAAGCAGGAATATTGTTGAGAAATCAATTACTCCAAGGGGCGATACTTTTATGTTTTAGGTTTCCTAAAACGTAATAAAGTGAAATTAACCTGGATGTGATTTAGCAAGAAACAGAGTATTTGCTTAATTTTACAGATCATTACCTTTTAGAAAGTCCTTCGTATTTTCCAAATAATAGTAAATGTACTTTTTTCTTAAGATTACCCTATTATATCATTTTTAAGCTCCTCTTCCCTATAGACAGTGTGACAAAAATACTGATGTTCATATTTACTTAACTTCCCCATAGAGAAGCCACCTGCGTAAGTTTCTAAGTGAACAGATGTGTTGGGTTATGCCGCTTCTGTTCCTTTTCTTAGGTGAGGTCTCCTACACCTCATATCATAGCTCTTTGAAAATTATACCGTCAGTTAGTAGCATGTGACAATTAGGCTACAATAGTGTGAAAATTTGTGAACGTTTAGTTCTCCTGTGCACTGCTTGGGGAATCCAAGCATGGGTTAACTTTGTCCATTAGCCTAGAGACTGAGTTACATAATTGTTGACCACGCCTCCTCTGACTGGATAGTTCAGTTTTGTAACTCAGTCCAGCCTAAAGAGACGTAAAACAATTTGCTCTAGGACTATTAGGCAAATTATCTCATTCTTCTGGATTCTTCACGACTTAATTGATTACTGGTTAAAAACAACGAAGTGCGATTCTGTGCCTGTCTCTGGAGGGCAGCAGTTCGCTGTCAGCCTCACATTCTTTTGGCATGTCTGGTAGTTTCCCTAAGGCTCTAGTGGCCAGGGGAAATTCTCGCCGTGGAAAGCTCGATAAACGCCTGACTTACTTTCGCGTGCGCTTGAGAGTAGGTTCGCCACTCTCCGTTCACTGTTGCCCGCAGTTGGGAGTCGGTTTGCCGCTCTCACGTCGATCAGGGAGGGTGTGACCCGCTAATGCCAGCATGGTCTGTCCCTCGGAGGTTTTTGCCACCTTGCGCTGCCGCGCCACCTTTATTGCTGCCTTTACTGCCGCTGGGTAGGTGCTGCGAGTCTGGATTGCGGGAGGAACTGTGACCATTGGGACTGATTTAAATTTTCCGCCGGTCTTGATGGCGGTCGCCATTTTGAGAACCATTTAGCTGCGCGCTGACAAGCGGCCGGAAGGGGCGTGTCTTGCGTTTTGCATTTGATTGCAACGGTTTTTTTCGCTATTTTTTTTGTCGGCATACGCAGTACCTCGCTTCAGCAGCCAGAGATAGCCTCGCTATTCTTAGCAGCACATTTCTCTATATTTGACCGTGAGGTCAATCCATCCCGTGGTTCAAATGGCAGATCATTCTATCTCCGGGGCCAGTGCTCCCCTCCAACACTACAGAGGCCAGCGCTAGGGCAGGCAGGGCCACCACCAGCGCCTCTAGCCAGAGAGTTTAAGCCTCCGGCGCTGGATAGAGCCACTAAGCGCAAGGATAGAGCCAAGCTTTCGGCCAAAACCACTGTGGCCACAAGTAGGTTGCCTCCCACACTAGTTGCCCAAGGCTTTCCCCCCGTTTCTTCCTTAGGTCTGACTGGGACCCACGGTTGGCCTCCTGATCTCCCTTTAACTCAAGGGATGGCATCCGAGGAGGGGGAATTGGAGGCCCAATCTCCCCTCGGCCTTTCTGAAGCCAGTCCAGCCTCGGCCCAAGCGTGCTCGCACGCTAGGCCCACAGCTACCTTTACACCTATGGATGCAGGGCTCAGAACTATGGAAGGACCTGAGTTAGGCCTTCTCCCTGAGCTGCATCAAATGATCTCGGCTGCCATATCACAGGGTGTTGATGCAGTCCCCTGCTTGGATTCCCCAACCAGCGCACAGGAGAATGACCGTTGACTTACCTGAACGGTCCTTCTATGTGCGCTGCGAAGGGAATCCAAACCCGCCCTCGGCTGGTCCGGGCATTGACGTCAGACTTCGTTTCACTACTATGGCTATCTGCCTCTTGACTGTTGACATTGGATCGATTACTTACCTCATTGGCCACCGCCTTCCATGACAATTGTTTCACCTCTTGGTTCGGCTGAGCCTTCGTACAAAACTGAACTATCCAGTCAGAGGAGGCGTAGTCAACAATTACATAACTCAGTCTCTAGGCTAATGGACAAAGTTAACCCATGCTTGGATTCCCCTTGCAGCGCACATAGAAGGACCATTCAGGTAAGTCAACGGTCGTTAAGCGTATATTGTTAGTGAGGTACATTCTTTAATGGATTTGTTCTCCTTTAGGGTTTGGTAGCCGCTGTGGAAAACCAAAAGGACCAAGAGACCCTCCTTCAGAATGGACATGATGCAAGAACCAATGGACACATATTAAATTATACTGGAAAATTCAAGTGCCACTGAACAAGATCCGTAGTATTCCAATGCTTTTATTTTTTTGGAACAATCGGTGTACATATAGCTACACAATGGTACACTTTTGTATACATCTACACAAATATTAAAGATTCAAAATGGTGGATTCTATACTTCAAACTTAACTTCTTTCTGGGGCCATTAATCTGCCTTATTACATTTTTTAAATAAATATTACTTATGGTTTGTTACTTCAAGTATTATTGCCTTAATGTCTTTTAAACCTGTTAAAACACTTGTTTATAGACATGTTAATATGGTGAAACTTTTGACAAATTGAGTTTATGAAGAACTTTTTTTGGCAAATGTTTGATTGCCATGTATATTTTATTTTGTGGATGTATAGGGCAAGCCAGGTATATAATTTGATAAAGCTGCAATCGTAAAGTATTAACAGAAGGTGTAAGAAATCTCTGCATGAACTAAAGTTGTGTACCTTGTAAATTATTTGCCCTAATGTTTTAGAAAATAGTTTTTTTTAAAGAAAATGTTGGTGCACATTCAGAATTACAGAATAGCAGAGATGAAGATTGTAATACATTTTGTAAATTGTAAGCAAAAAGTTATTTTTATATTATATACTGTTTCAACTGTCAGTCCTAATTTGTCCTGGTTTTCATCTAGTCATTGATATTACATAAGTGCCTTGAAAGACCAGATTTTTAGCATGAACAAGTTACCTATAGAGACTAGTGTTATCAACATATTTGAACTGTCAGTAAAAGAGAATATTTTAAAACCCTTTAAGTTTTCCTTTATATTGTATTTCAATTTAAATCCTTAGAATTTTCAAAAGGAAAACCTTGGTAAGTATCATCAGGATTAAAATTATGAATAATAATGCTAGTAAAATATTTTCCCTAAGACAGTTTTATGTAAACATTTAAAAGTACCAAAATTCTTACTGCATCATTCTTCCTCTACAAACTTCATTGGCAAATTCCCAAGCTCCTACCAATTTGTTTCAGTTTATATTAGGGATTCTTCAAGAAATGAATTAATGCTTATTCATATATATTCTAGAAGAGGTAGCATTACTTACTTGGGCTTAAATGTCCTTCTGGTTATAAAATACTTTTGTATCAAGTCCCTTCCCTGCCCCTCTTCGATTTGCATGCTAGTGATCGCACTCTAACAATAGCAATTAAAACAAAAGTACCTAGAGTTCTTACCCTTTTTCATTATAAGCCCAGGGCAATTTCTGAAGGCTGTTAATTCTCAGAAAATATAATAGCCAAAAATTGTTACTTGGGTTAGCAAGCCATCCTTTCCCTTCACAAACATACGTTGAACTACCAAGTTCAAATTCTTTGGGAATATGTATAGTTCCTATATGATGACATTTTCATTTGACTTTTGGTCTGCTATAGTGTAACACATGCAGTTACTAACCTGATGATTCAAAACCAATTATTTTATTGAAATATCAGTAATGTGTATGCCTATCTCTCTCTCAGCCTTGATAGAAAAGGCTATGTTGTGCAAGGAGAAAATGAGCAGAATTTATGCTTTTTATTAAGAGTGAAAGACTCCTGTAGAAATCAATAATGTGTTTTGGGCTTAGTCTTTTGCTGGTAGTGGAAGATTGGGTTCTATCAACTATAATTTCTAGAGCAGACTTTCTGCAAAGCTCAGTAAGCAGAATGGTTTTGCCACTGGAAGGACTGGCTTAAGCTGTTCTACATAAAGAAAGTTACCTGAATTTAAGTGTCCTAATACAGGGTGTGCACTTTTATGTGGCTGAAAGCTGTATTTCAGAAAATCAAGGGGGTCCTTAAAATCAGCCTGGGAGGAAGATATATGCTATGACCAAACAATTAATTGAGGCTAATGTGCTTATTTTTTTTCTCCAGCAAAACCTGGTGGGAGATCATGGTTCCCTTTATGGCAATTTGCTGCTAAATTAGTGCAGTTCTTGCTTCCAGGGGGGAAAAAAGGTATGGTGTAGGATCTTGATGTGTCTGTTCACCTATGGATGCAAGTGAGGTTTCAGAAGATTGTTATGAGTTCTTAAAAACAAAATCATTTCTCAGAAATATATTCTGGAAAAGCACAATACTATCACAAGAGTATAGTGCATCTGTCAGAGTAACATGCTAATTTTATTACCACTGCCCAAAGTCCTAGGAAAGGTAATTTAGTTTATCTTCTTCCTGAATTTTCCAAGTTGAATAAAAAAAAATTATTGGGAATATATTTACAGTAGTGCTTAAAGGTTTGCAAACCCTTTTGAATTTCCATTATTTCTGTCTAAATATGACTTTAAATGTCATCTCTTTTCCTCATTATGTCCTAAAATTGGATGAAGAGAACCTAATTAAACAATGAAAACTCTTTTCCCCATTTGCCTTGAATGCCAAGATAATAATCTGAAAAACTATACAGTTGGTTTGCTAACTTTTTATATTGGCCCTACAGCTCAGTTTGAAAATATGCACTAAGGTATCACGGACATTGTGTGTTTAGAACAATGTGCTTTTTCAAAAGCGCTGATAATAAAAATCTCTAGTTTTAATATTAAAATAACTTCCATATCTATGCCTTCTCATGAATGACAATGCTTATTCTAAAATGCTTCTATGTAATTCTTATTCTAAAATTATTCTAACACTTGAGTTTCAAAGATTACCTCAAAACTTTTTTAAACAAAACTTTTAAAGCATTCTGAGTTCAAATAGTTTCTGCAAGCGTAACAGAAATGTAAATTTAGCTAATACTGTTCTTACACTATTAAGATAACTAAAGAATGTCAAATTTAATCTTGCAACCAGGGCAAATTTAAAAACCGGAATAAGAGGAAATGAACAATCTAGATCGTGAAGATTGATTAAAATATTGAGCAGCTGCAGTACTTGCACCATTATATAAACACGACATCACAAAGCTAATTATAGTTCTTTGGACGAATTTGTTACTGGACCATAAAGTTTATACATAGGATTTCCAGTCTTTAAATAAATAAATTGGGTACTTTCAAATTATGCCTTTGGAAATGTGTTGTTTTTGCAATCTGAAGGAAAGTGGTGGTTCAGTACTCATTGCTTGATGCTGTTGAAATTGTTAATATGATACAAATCTTAACATATTTCACCTCTAAGTGAAAATTTCATAATTCTATAAAGTTTTACAAAGTAATGCATTAACAAAAACTTGTATTATAGAATGCCAGATTCAGCTGACACATTTCCAAGAAATAGAGGAAATGTTCGTGTAATATAGTCTTAATTCCCTAGGTAGGTCTCACTTTTCAGTTAATATATTTGTTCTGATAGTAATTTTTTTTTTAAAAAACCCTGTTAAGCTAGCTTTTCTGTTTACATAATACATTTCTATCAAGGTACAACGTCAACTTTATAGGGGTTTTTTGGTCCTTCAAAATTTTCAGCATATTTTCCACTTCAAACATTTAAAGAAGTCTTCTAAACCTCAACATTAGTGCTGCTACAATGGCTTCAGCAGGTAAGATCCTACCTGAAAAACTCAGATACCATTATCTACAGATCTCAAGGGACCCCTAGTTGGGTCATGATCTTATAAAGTAGTTAACATCTATGACTTAACTGTGGGAAGAAAAGCAAGAAGAGGAAGTAATAGAACAGGGTTGGAAGGGACCTAAGAGGTCTTCTAGTTCAACATCCTGCTCAAGCAAGAACCCTATACCATTGTAGACACATGGTTCTTCAGTCTTTTTCTGAAAGCCTTTAGTGATGGCGCACCCACAACTTCTGAAGGCAAGCTATTCCATTGGTTGATTGTTCTCACCATTAGGAAATTTCTCCTTCGTTCTAGGTTGCTTCTCTTATTGGTTAATCCTTAACTTGGGCCTTCTACTGGGGTGATCAAGGAGAGACAAAGGTTAGGTCATGTTGTTGATCTTCACAAACTTACTGTCACAGGCAGAAGATATAAGGCCATGGGATCAGTGCTGGGATTCCAAATCTTCCTACCGGTTTTATGAGAGTCCATCCACTTGCACTTCACATGCCTAATGCGTGCTTTGCGCATGCGCAGAGCATTCAAAGACCACCCTTGGTGTCAGCGCTGGTGAACTGAGCTATTTTTTAGCCCAGCTGAGGTGCGGCAATTTGCTCTGCCGCGCGAATCAGCTGAACTAAGAAAAGGGAATATAGGATAGGAAGGATGGGGGCCTTGGTATTTGCCAGTTCTCCGAACTACTCAAAATTTCTGCTACCATTCATCCAAACCGGCTGAATACCTCTGCATGGGTTCTGTCTGTCCGCCTGCCTGTCTCTCTCCCTCCCTCTCCAAGAGGGAAGTTCAGAACATAGTTTAGGCAAGGTATGAAGCTGACCAGGGTTATTGGAAAACCATCTGTTTGAAATGGTATACCCACCTGCCTGAGCAGTGGATTGAATTAGAAGACCTTCCAACTCTAGTTATTCTACAATTGTTAGTCTGGGGCGAGGGCAATTTTCAAAGGCCAGATACCCTCTATGGTTCCTATGTCCAAAGAAACATGGGACGCAGAGCAAGTCAGACTTACTTTCAGGCCTGCTCAAAAGTTGCAGCCTATTGGGAGAAATTCTGGATGACCAAGCTCAGAAAAATATCTGGAGGGCAATCGCGCAACAGGTGCATTTCCTTTCCTATTGCCCCCAAGACAAGCCCTTGATGGAAATGGGCAGACAGTTCAGGAAAGCAGACTGTCACAAATCTTAATTTAGGGAGGGCTTCCCCATCCCCAAAAATATATTTCAATCCTCACAGCTTACTCAGGGCCAAGGTGGCGCAGTGGTTAAATGCAAAGAGCCAAGGTGGCGCAGTGGTTAAATGCAGCACTGCAGGCTACTGCTAGATCAGCAGGTCAGCGGTTCAAATCTCACC